AGTCCTTTCCAGTTCCTCCCAATTGCTAATCATCCCTTTCATGACTGCTTGCAACTCCCGACACACTGTGTTCTTTGGTCCCCCTTTTTTCAGTTTCCCTTCACGATTCCATGTTAGTGCTTGCTTAGTGATGCAGTTTGATGATTTCCTCAATGTTTCCTATCTACATCCAACGTTTTATCCCGATTTATTCTTCAGATAGAAGCTGGTTTGTTCTCTCGAACAGTAGGCTGTTGCTGATGGTATCCGACCAACGGACATTGTGTATCTTGCGTAGATAATTAATTGTACATACTTTTACCTTTTTGATGATGGTTGTAGTAGTTCTCCAAGCTCCAGCTCCGTACAGCAGAACTGTCATGATGTTCGTACTGAAGATTCTGACTTCCATGTCGGGTGGCTGTTGTTTTGAGTCTCATATGTTCTTTAACTGTGGGAATGCTGTGCTTCCTTTGCCAATCTTTACATTTACGTTTGCGTCGGATCCTACACATTCATTGATGACGCTGTCCATGTACGTGAAGGTTTCCCTGTGTTCTAGAGATTCTTTATCATGTGTGATTGGATTGGTGTTCTCCGTGTTGTATTTGAAGATCTTGCTTTTCTTCTTGTGTATTTTGAGGCCTACTGATGCAGAGGCTTCTGTTGTACTGGTTGTCTTTACTTTCATTTGTTCGTGTGTATGAGATAGAATAACTAAGTCATCTGCGAAATTCATATCGCCTAGCTGCATGCAAGATGTCCGTTGTATTTCATGCTTCCTCTGATACATTAAAGTCCTCATAATCAAGTCAACTGCCAGAAGAAAGAGAAGAGGCGAGAAACAGTAATCAATCTCATTTGACACCGGCCTTAAATCGGAATCCATCTATCAGCTATTCTCCACTCACAACTTTGCAGTGCAGTTCGTCGTGTGGATTCCAGACAATGCTGATGATGTTCTCAGGTACGCCATGGTGTCGAAGAAGGCTCCATAAGGTTCGCTTATCCACAGTGTCAAACGCCTTCTCGTAGTCAAGGAAGTTGTTGTATAGTGACGAGTACCATCCGACTGATTGCCCAACGATGATCTAAAGTTTCACGATTTGGTCTGTGCACGACCAATACATACAGAATCTGAACTGTTGATCTCAAAGCTGAACGTCTACTAAATCTTCCATCAGGTTCAGCGACACTCTGTTAAAAACTTTTCCTGAGATCTATAATAGTGTGATTCCTCTGTAGCTTTCACACTTGCTCAGACCTCCTTTCTTTGGTATCTTGACGAGATATCTTGATTTATTCGACCGTCGGTCGAGTGACATCTGTAGGAGGGTCTGTAGGTGATGCTTCGGTGTCCAGTAGATTCTATGGAGCTGGCCGATTCAGCAGTTCCTCAGAGTATTCTAACCACTTGTTCCGCTGCTGTTGGATCTCAGTGATTGTCTTGCCTTATTTGTCCTTGACGGGTCTCTCTGGTTTGCCATATTCCCCTACCAGTTCCTTCGTTGTGTCATATAGTTGTCTGGCATATCTTTCGGCTGCCACTTTGTCCAATGTCGTTGCTAAGTCTTCCACGTATTTCTGATTGTTAAACCTAATGCTTATCTTCACTTGATTGTTTGCTTCTGTGTATTCAGCTTGCGCCTTGACTTTCTCTGCTTTTGTTTAGTTGTTGTTATTTGTTGTCTTTCTGTCCCTTCTTTCTTGAATTTTGCCGTGGGTATCAACAGAGACTTCTTCTCTGTGATGGTAATTGTTGCAGACCATAACCTCCTGACACGTTGAAATTAGTGCTTCTTTGACCCCTTTCCAGTTGTTATCCATAGTAGTTTCCTCTTCTGTGAGTAGATCTCGTAAGGCTTGAAACCTGTTGTCGAGAGATATCTTGAATTTGTTAAGTTCATCAGTATCTTGATGGAAGCTGCATTGAACTGTTGTAATGCTGTTTCCTCAGTTGTACAGTGCTTTTTTAGCTCTAGTTCCATCCTGCCAACGAACAGGTGGTGTGCTGAAACTATATCAGCTTTTCTCCTGGTTCATCAATGGTCCGTGGTGTCGGAATTTGTTCTGCTCTCTACCAATTGGCGACCATGCCACTTGAAGAGCACTAGTTCCCATCTGACCTGATATACCTTATCTGTATTCATTACGAATTATCGGAGAAGCACTCCATTTCGATTTCTCTTATTTTATTGAAATATATATATTCCAACACTGTTACTAAGTTTGCTAGCTGATAAACAATCACAGTTCTAGATTAGGATACAGTTTATAGTGTCCACTAGTCATTAAAAAACTTTAGCAACATAAAGCAACACTGTCAGTTTTTTAATTTTATTGAAAATTGCATCTAGATATGGCTTTCGGCGAGATCGCTTCAGGACGACGCGCAAAACTAATTCCGCATTCTGAAATTTTAAGAGTTAAACGGAGACCACTTTGTCTTCAAACAGACTCTTCATTTATTATTGGAGGGTTGTGAAGTGTGGATTTAAAAAGTTCACGGATATTAATTGCATAACGACGTTGTTGTCTGTAACATATTTATAATTGAGGACCTCAAACTCAGCCAAACAAGAAGTTTTGAATGGAGTGTACGAAGGCATACTTGAAAGGTAGTCGATGTTTAGTGAAGTATATGATATACGCACGGCGCACCCAGTTGAGATCTGGAGAGGATGTTTGATCGACAGATTCCAGTATCCGGCAAACCTAATGGGTTTGGTACAAATGTTGAAGACTTACAGAACTATCTATTTTGGTAATTTATTTGCGGCTACACTCTAGTTACTTGTTTCACTTCGTATTATTACATTTGGCTGCTTATCTTTTCATGTCTTAGTTGGTTGGCCGCTCTGGATCCGTTTTATCGGATATATTCTCTGGTGAGAAGAATCATAATTAGCAGCTAGTAATTCATCAATACCATTGGACATGCATTTGTACTACCGGATTTATGACACTTGAGACTCACTTGACAACAATGAAACCCTCGCAATGCATACGTTTATGGAAAATAAACAGCTGTTCGCCATAGATCTGATAGCTAAATGTAAGCGTACCGATTCCGTCGTCATAGGCATCGTCAAACGTATTTAGGTCGGGTTGTAGTTTCAGTGAAACTTAATACTAAAGTCATATCAGCACTAAAAACAAGACACGAAATGGAACTTTGAAGAAATAACAATAGTTTTACAGTGTTCACGATTTACAGTTAGATATTTTTAGGGTAGCGAAGAATGTCATTTATGTTTATCTTCAGAAACAACTCATCTGGATAAACACTCTTCGTTCGATACTCATCACACTGTAGATTGTTCTGGTATACAGGCGATTCATTTCTGTTGACCATTTCGGACCACTGTTTATAGCGGTTCTTCAGATTTTTTGATGACACTCTTTAGATAATCTGAGGGCTAATATAGATTGTAATAGCCACTCTAGGTGTAATCCTTTCTGCTAGATATTCACTGCATGCTCAAATTGAACATGGATCAATTCTTATACTTGAAGAATATGCATCTAAAATATAAACTGGTGGCCTCGTTTTTAGGTGGTTTGGTGACAGAGAAAGTGTATCAACACCAAAATAATGGTAGATATTTTGCACAACAAACCTCCTTACAGCAAGAGAGCATTGAACAAAGGTTCTAGACAACAGTAAATCAGTTGATATGGTTTACATAGACTTCAGCAGAGCATTTGACAAGGTGACAACAAACAGACTACTCTTGAAGCTGGAAAATCTTGGTATTGCCAGACCTCTTGTCACTCCGATACATAAAACAGGATTAAGACAATTCCCATCAAACTACAAACTTGTCGGAGCTCTATTAAAATGGCAAGGGTTTCTTTGCAGGTCGTAGACAGATATTGGGAGTAAATTGGAAGTGCTCCACCTGAAGACCAGTATTGATTGGAGTGCCCCAAGTTTCTCTCCCAGGTCCTTTACTTTTCACATTGTATGTAAATGATCTTCCAAGTATAGTAGAGTCCCCAATGTTATTATACGCTGACGATGTAAAAATCTAGCGAGAAATAATGACAGACGAAGATGCATGCGCACTTCAGGCAGGCTTGAATATTGTGATTAACTGGTCTTAATAGTGACTGATGCCTATCAACGCGGCAACGTGTATCTACATGCACTTTGGGGATACGAAAGTAAATAGATAAAGAATAGGGGAATTGCCTGTACTCGTAGTTCGATCTCATAAGGTTCTTGGGTTGATAGCGAGTCATGACCTTAAGGCCACATCCATTGTCGGGAGGTTGAAGCCAAGGGGATTAGAACCCTATGAGCTTTAAGCCGGGTATTCACTAAGTTAGACACTACCATGTTCACTACAGTATACACAACCTTAGTGAGAACAAAGCTTGAGAACTGCGTTCAGCCTGAAAACCTCTGTTTAAAAGGTGACTCGGATATCCCGGAAAAAATACGGAAAGCACCTACCCGTGGAATTCCAGAACTCCGTGGTTTATCATAAAAGGAGCTGCTTGAGAAGCCAGACCTCTTTACTCTGTCCTATCGCAAATTAAGAGGTGATCTGATTTGCATGTAGAGAATACTAAGAAATGATTTTAAACCCAACATATTTTTTTCTTCCCTATAAAGCGCTACATCTCAGAGGACATATCAGGAGAGTGGAAAAGTCGAGAACGAATAAAATGCCAGTGGCATACAGATTTTCACACCGAGTCACCAATTCTTGAAACCTGTTGCCTGGAGCAGTTGTGTTCACACCTTCAATTGACTCATTAAAGAGGAGAATGGACACTCACAGAAGCATTCCAGAAAAGGAATAACATAGGCCATAGGCCTTCTGTCCTTACTATACAAATCTGAAATCGGAATCATTTTAGTGAGGACTGAAGTCTGGAGAAAACCCAACTTTACTGCCTGATTGTAAAAGCATGAAATTGGAAGAATACGCGTCAAAAATCCACTTTGGGTCTCTTTAAAGCCAGGAATCATACTTTCAAGGCCTTGAGGATTAAATATTGTTTATACGATACTTTTATGCCAGTCGGCGGTTATTTTGAAAATATGAGTTGGTTTCCAGATGAGGATGGGATACGACAAACGTTAGACTTGCTGCATAATTCTCAATCAACTGACACAAACGTTCAAAGGGTTGTGCATGAGGTTAGTGAATATCCCCCTTCAACAGTTTTAGAAATTGAATGAGTTGAACAATGTTCCTGATTTTAACAAATACCTAGCATTTATCTTGACAAATGCAGGTTCGGAAAGTGAGTTTAAAGTTATGATCTAACTATAAATGTTGTCCAGGTGACAGCACGCGTTCTCTTAGTGGACTTATTTTGAAAAATAATCTAAAAAGTCACTTTAAGAGATGCCCTCCTGAACTTATTAGTTACATCAAGGATGGGTGTTTACGGTGCATCAGCGATAGCTCACCTATGATCAGATCAATTGTCGGAATTCTTATCACCACCATTGTAACTAGTGATGGCATACAAAACTGGCCGGAATTGCTATGTAACTTCTGACATCTGGAACAAGCTTGACGAAAGCGCTTTCACAAGGTCATAGCTCGAACCAGGCGCTCCACAAGCCTACTTTGTAACAACTATAAACTTAAAAAGCTGCATTACATAAATACTTAGAACTACCGAAACCCTATTACACTTTTTGTCGAGATTGGATCTGGTATATAACGTGGACGCTATGCCCCTTTGGAAACTATTCTTATGAAAACACATTATATCTGAACGAATGAACTGCTATCAACTTTTATAGATTATAATTACTAAACAAGCTTGCTTGGGATGCATACTGTGAACCGGTATATGTTGTAAATTGTAGATCATGCCTGTAAAAATGGTGTGTACCTGCTAATGCAGAAATATATTATTATTATTATACTGACCTATAAAAATACTTAAGACACTTTGACAAATTGACACTTTAAACTGTTGGTATTCAACTTAACACAATGCAGGTTAGACTAGTTTGATGAAGTCTGAGACATGTCACCAAAACACAATTGTTGGATCTTCTGTTGTCAGTGTTATTTCAATTCTCATACGATTGCTGATAATACTATGTGCCAGTGTCAATAAAAATCCAATTCAATTACAAAGTGATCCGAGTCTGGTACTAATCTACTACTACTATAATTTCAGTTCACTTGTTGCCATTCAACCTGATTATACTTTAATTGTTTATTACTACTGTCGATGTTGGTGATTTTAGTTACTGAAATATAAATTCAAGAATATTTGTTTTAGTTGTGACTTGACAATTGGTTTCTTGTCATAGACTAGTCTAAGACTTCTGCCGGTTTCAGTAGAACAAAAAAGAGGAGGGTTGAGCATGGGGTCGGTAACGTTATTTTGTGAAGAACAAACTTGTAAAATATCGCTAACCAGAATGAACAACCTAAGCCATTTAAAATGTGCTTTTCGGGTTCACAGAAGAGTTATGACACTATTTGGATAATATCGAGATTCTTCGGAAGTCAAGAGGCCGACGCCAATTTTGGTAACCAGAGCAACAATTTATATAGATATATGGAATGTTCGGACAATGTGGGAGACCAGAAGGATCGGCAAGATGGCTGCGGAAATGGGAAGAGGTAAAACATGGTGGTTTCTAGAGTCGGCGAAGCCGGTTGGACTCAAGCTTGACAGAAATGGATAGATACGGGAGATATACCGCTATACTCTAGTGACGAAGAAGAAAATGATTCACACACCAATGGAGTTGCACTGATGCTATCCAAGGAAGCACGAAAAGTACTGATGAGAATCTCGTCGACCCAGGATCATCAAAACATATTTCAGAACAAAGAAGGAGGGAATTATAATGAACGTTATTCAATGGTGGCAACGACCATGACAAAGATGAGCTCTATGAGAGGCTGCAATCAATCATAGAAAAGTTCTCAAGAAAGAATCTAATCGTCCTGATGGGAGATTTAAACTCCAAAGTCGGGATGGACAACAACGGTTATGAAGATATCAAGCAACGAGAATGGTGAGAGGTTCGTGAACCTGTGCATATTCAGCAAACTGGTTATAGGCGGCGTAATGTTCCCACACAAACACAAACAAAGCTACCTGCGTTTAACGGGATCAAAATATACCGAATCAGATACAACATACTTGGACCAGTAAGAAATTCCGAAGGAAAATAGAAGACGTGAGAATCAAGAGAAAAGCTGATATAGTTTCAGCACACCACCTGTTCGTTGGCAGGATGGAACTAGAGCTAAAAAAGCACTGTACAACTGAGGAAACAGCATTACAACAGTTCAATGCAGCTTCCATCAAGATACTGATGAACTTAACAAATTCAAGATATCTCTCGACAACAGGTTTCAAGCCTTACGAGATCTACTCACAGAAGAGGAAACTACTATGGATAACAACTGGAAAGGGGTCAAAGAAGCACTAATTTCAACGTGTCAGGAGGTTATGGTCTGCAACAATTACCATCACAGAGAAGAAGTCTCTGTTGATACCCACGGCAAAATTCAAGAAAGAAGGGACAGAAAGACAACAAATAACAACAACTAAACAAAAGCAGAGAAAGTCAAGGCGCAAGCTGAATACACAGAAGCAAACAATCAAGTGAAGATAAGCATTAGGTTTAACAATCAGAAATACGTGGAAGACTTAGCAACGACATTGGACAAAGTGGCAGCCGAAAGATATGCCAGACAACTATATGACACAACGAAGGAACTGGTAGGGGAATATGGCAAACCAGAGAGACCCGTCAAGGACAAATAAGGCAAGACAATCACTGAGATCCAACAGCAGCGGAACAAGTGGTTAGAATACTCTGAGGAACTGCTGAATCGGCCAGCTCCATAGAATCTACTGGACACCGAAGCATCACCTACAGACCCTCCTACAGATGTCACTCGACCGACGGTCGAATAAATCAAGATATCTCGTCAAGATACCAAAGAAAGGAGGTCTGAGCAAGTGTGAAAGCTACAGAGGAATCACACTATTATAGATCTCAGGAAAAGTTTTTAACAGAGTGTCGCTGAACCTGATGGAAGATTTAGTAGACGTTCAGCTTTGAGATCAACAGTTCAGATTCTGTATGTATTGGTCGTGCACAGACCAAATCGTGAAACTTTAGATCATCGTTGGGCAATCAGTCGGATGGTACTCGTCACTATACAACAACTTCCTTGACTACGAGAAGGCGTTTGACACTGTGGATAAGCGAACCTTATGGAGCCTTCTTCGACACCATGGCGTACCTGAGAACATCATCAGCATTGTCTGGAATCCACACGACGAACTGCACTGCAAAGTTGTGAGTGGAGAATAGCTGATAGATGGATTCCGATTTAAGGCCGGTGTCAAATGAGATTGATTACTGTTTCTCGCCTCTTCTCTTTCTTCTGGCAGTTGACTTGATTATGAGGACTTTAATGTATCAGAGGAAGCATGAAATACAACGGACATCTTGCATGCAGCTAGGCGATATGAATTTCGCAGATGACTTAGTTATTCTATCTCATACACACGAACAAATGAAAGTAAAGACAACCAGTACAACAGAAGCCTCTGCATCAGTAGGCCTCAAAATACACAAGAAGAAAAGCAAGATCTTCAAATACAACACGGAGAACACCAATCCAATCACACATGATAAAGAATCTCTAGAACACAGGGAAACCTTCACGTACATGGACAGCGTCATCAATGAATGTGTAGGATCCGACGCAAACGTAAATGTAAAGATTGGCAAAGGAAGCACAGCATTCCCACAGTTAAAGAACATATGAGACTCAAAACAACAGCCACCCGACATGGAAGTCAGAATCTTCAGTACGAACATCATGACAGTTCTGCTGTACGGAGCTGGAGCTTGGAGAACTACTACAACCATCATCAAAAAGGTAAAAGTATGTACAATTAATTATCTACGCAAGATACACAATGTCCGTTGGTCGGATACCATCAGCAACAGCCTACTGTTCGAGAGAACAAACCAGCTTCTATCTGAAGAATAAATCGGGATAAAACGTTGGATGTAGATAGGAAACATTGAGGAAATCATCAAACTGCATCACTAAGCAAGCACTAACATGGAATCGTGAAGGGAAACTGAAAAAAGGGGGACCAAAGAACACAGTGTGTCGGGAGTTGCAAGCAGTCATGAAAGGGATGATTAGCAATTGGGAGGAACTGGAAAGGACTGTTCAGGACAGGATTCTATGGAGAATATTTGTGAGCAGTTTATGATCCTCCACAAGGGGTAACAAACTTAAGTACTAAACAGTCCCGAAAGGGAAGCGGTCGAAAACTAATCGCCTGTACTTCTGAGTCTATTATATTATTGCTATTCTTATCTTTATCCACCATATCGCGTTGTTGTCAAAATATTATATATTAGAAAGTATCAATACGAATACGTGCAACAAAAGCGGATGGATAAATACTAGACCAATCATTGTGATGTTCTTTGGAAGATTTGCCAAATGTTGAAATGTGTTCGAAAATTTGGCTTACCAGGTGTAGATCGCGTCGAGTTGCGATGGACTATAATCACCACGACAATAAGATTACGCGCCAGATAACGACTTGGATCCTTCGATAGACCGAAAACCAGAAGGCTGTTATTGGTCCAGGTAAGATATATTTATTGGCGATCTCGTGGTATCGGAAGAATACCGAGACGTGCCGAAGATTACTGGCAAAATGACAGAGCGTAAGAGGGTTCGCACGAACAAGATGGGCAACGGAACGAAAAGTGTTTTTGGTACAGTTAAACAAACAAGTACAGTAAAACAAGAACTGGTACAAATTGTTATATTAATAACCGTTCACATTATAACGATCGCGTTCTCGTCATGAAAATTAGGTCACTACATCCTTCTGAGTATAATTAGTTAAACAATAAACTAATATAGTTTTATAGTCATTTTAAAAAGTCAAGGTGATAACCATCATATGTCTTAATCAGAAGTTATACCTTCTCAAGTTAGTGTATTGTTATGTTAATGATATAAGGATATAGATTGTGATGCAGTATGTTTTAATGCACGTTTCAAAGTAATATGTAATATTAACATGCTGCTTTTACAGTGCTGATGTACTTTCTGGAGTACTGCGTATCCTTAGTGTGATATTTAATATCATCATAGTTACAAATACAAATCGTTTAATTTAGACCAAATGATCATGGAGCATATGGGCTGATGTGAGATTCAAAAGTCCTCGTTTCAGTTCTCTAGGAGGCCTGCAGATACATATTGGTATAAAACATTATATTAAAACCAAATTAATCCACATTATTCCCTCATTTATTACATATTTAATAGGAATTAATTACAGTTGGTTTTGAACCATGAAAGTTTATTTATTATTGTTGATCATAAAGAATCCTAAATAGTTAAGAATGAATAAAATAACGTATTCTAACATGAATTCTTAAATTTGTCTTTTTTCATCTTATCGATAATGATCTCAGTTACACTTTAACTTACGTAGTATACTCACGGACAAGTTTACTCCCATCT